CGTATATATTTGCAATAGTCAATCACTGTACCGGGTGACCTTGTTACTTGGTTGTATTGTACCAAGAAGGCTACAACTCTGTAACAGTATACTTTATTATTTAGAAGTTCATATAAGTCTAATAAGAGTTTATGATTATTTGAAATATATGTTTCAGATATTTTATTAAATAAAAACATTAAATATAAAGTCTTGGCTACAGATATGATAATTGATAATTCGAGATAAGTAGGCTAAAAAAAATAGCTTTTATTAGATAACTAGAAATTAAAGTAGATTCTGAAGGTAATGGTATTAGTGTCTTATTGATAAGACTTAAAACTATTTTTCTAATTGTTTTGAAATTTAGTTGCTATAAAATTTTTACAAATTCTGTTAAGTAGAAGATATATTTTGTAATCTCTTATGCATCTATTGAGTTAAAGTTTAGATTAGTTAAGTAATCTGTTGTTAGTTTAATTTATAGTAGTTCAAAGATTTGATTCTGATTTTTTTATTTGTTACTAGTACATTATGTTGTTTTTTATAGATGTCTAGAGTCTCTGTAAACAAATTATTAAATTTTGTTTGATGCTATGGTCTAATTGCAATAATTCATATAAAGCTTCTAAAAAATGTTGTATCTTTATAGAACAATTTTGTTGCAATTGCTTTCAAAATATAATTTGTAGTTAGTTTCATAAGAAGTTTATATCTAATTAATTCTTTGATGTTATCATAGGAGGTTAGTGCATCTTTGATTTTTGGCCAAGTTAAAATTATTATATCGAAGAGCTCTAGTCTATCTTGTCTAATTTCTTTTAAAGCTGACTATACATATTTATACTATTCTTTTTATTTATTATTGTTGAAACTATTTGAAACTTTTTTGATCCTTTTTAGAAGGCTTTTAGTAACTGCCTGACTATATAATATCTTTTTCTATATTTGTTCCTCTAATATTTTGTCTATTAAATATATTTCTTTTTTTTCATTGTCTATATTTGTTGTGTTTTGGTTTACTTCTATATCTGGTGTTTGTTTGTTTGTATTATCATTTGTATACATACTAGATCTAGAAACTAGTTCTGACTAAATTAGTTTGTTTACATTTATATTTTGTTCTTATATAAGAAAAATTATGTTGGTTATAATGAGAACTTGAATTAGGCTCTAATTATTTTGTAAATCTATAGGAATATTTTTTTTTATTGATTAGTGTATGTCTAAAATTGGATTTGTTGTTGTTTTCATCTCTACTGATGATGTTATGTCTTGAGAATTCAGGATTAAGTTAGAATTTTCTTTTTTTTTAAAATTTTTTTCTATTGTGTTTTTTTTAGTATTTGTTTGAATTGGAATAATAGTATTGTAGTTAGTTTTTCACTTTTTTTCTTTACTTTGTTTATTCATTGTATTGCTGTTATCAGTATATATATAAGCAGATCATGTTTTTTTTCTTTGAGTTTCAGTCACATGTGTTTTGTTGTTGTTCTTTTTATTACTATTGTTATTTACTTGAGTTGTTGACATAGTTGACAACAAGGTTATAAAAAAGACAAAAGTGTAAAAGGTGGTTTCTTTGCTTCATTTAATCTTTAGTAACTTTGTCTGTTATTATTGTTGCAATGTTATTTTTAATTATTTAGTTATAATATTCTAAGTGTACCTAGTTGCAATTTGATATTTGTTTACTATATAAAAATGATTTACAGAAAAGTTTTTTTTGTTATATTATAGATTTTTCTTAATTTGTATAATTTTTGTAGATAATATTTTTCAATTATTATAATTTTTTATTATAATTTTGTTGTCAATACTTAAGGCTAGAGTTAAAAATTAGAGGTTATAACTAAAAATTAACACTAAAAATAAAGTTGGGGTAAGGTTTTTGGGGTGACGACCATTTTTAATAAATATATCTGGTCTTGATTATTTAGACAGTTTTTGAGATAGAGTAACTGGGGTGTTTAACGCCACCGATGTGATTTAACAATATTAATGTTTTTATTTCAAAGTTTTTGTGTTAGGACTAGTATTTAAGGTTAGGATTGGAAAAGGGGTTTGGAGGCGTAGAGCATTTTTACTTAGAACATCTCACACCGATTAATTAGCCAGTTTATGATATAATACAACATAGATGGTAAAACATCATACCTAGAGATTTGTCTTAATATTAAGAAATATATATATATATGTTAGACCATTTATTTCATCATTTAAGACATACCAGACACACTACCTGTTACATTATTAATATACAATCGTTAATGTGTTGAATATTGGTAAAAAAAAAAGATTAATAGCTTGGTAAGAAAAATTTATTGATATCCATGTGCTTTGATACATCATAAAATATCATTATTTTATAATTTGAAGTATTTTATTGCCAATAATAATGCTTGCTAATTTAAACAAATATTCAAAAAATACCAAAGTACAAATTCATCATAGTTTTAGAGTATTGGTAAATCACAATTCTTTTCTAAACAAATAATCAATCTCTCTAATTAAACCATCGACGAATGCCTGGTCTGTGCATTTAAGTTCAATGCGAACCCCGGTATTTTGTGCACTACCAGGTATCTCAATTTCTTCCACAACTAAATTTTTTTCAACCGTTAATTTTGCTAACCCTGCAACTTGATATCCTTGTACACTCCTACCATAGATTGTTATAGCACCAGGTATTTGCTCAACAATATGCGTTCCCATTGCCATTGGTATTAATCGTATCACATCGTTTTGGAAAGATTGTTCAATTAAATTAGTTGAAGTATTTAGCAGTATAGATGTTGATCCAGTAAATGGAAAGTCCGCTGTTTTAGAAACACACGACTTAAACTCTTCTGGCGTCATTTTTGGAATGTTTAGCATGAATACCGCCATAGGCAACTCAAACCTTATTGGTATATCAGAATTTGTTTTTGTTTCTTCATCCGACTACATATGAACATTTGATTATGTTTGTTAAGTCACACTAAAATGGCAAATTAAATATTGAATCTGATAATTTATGAATATATTTCTTTTACCTGTATTTCGTACGTAATGTTCCCAGAAACACTTAAACCCACACCAACAATTCCCATGACTTTAAATTCTATTGTCACGCTTTTTTGCTCGTCATGTTGTAATTCACCTATCTCTATTAATGCTTTGTCAAATTGAATGTCTGATGTTGATTCAAAAGCAAATGCCAATTTAGAAAGGGGATATTTGTATGAACAATTATTGCGAACAGTGAAATCTGCAATCATTATAGGAGGTTCATTTTTGACTTCTGTAGAAGAACCTAATCTTAACGTATAAAGCTTTGGTAGTTTATACATTAAAATGTTAGTACGTTTGCAATGTAATAAATGACAAATAATATAATAAAATGAACCTACAACTTGAATATCGTCTGAATCCACCAATGTTTTGATTGTAACAGTGCTAATTCTGTGCGGTTCTACAACTACATTATTATGTTCTGATGTGGCACCATCTAATGTTAGATTCTTCTTTTTGGGTTTCTAGATAAAATTTGTTAATTTATGTCTTTGAATTACAATTCGTGGGTACTAACATACCTTTCCTTTGTCCTTCTTTCCTTTTTTCTTTCGATCATCAGTCTCTTCGACACGTTTTTTCCTGGGTGCCTTTTTGGATTTAGATGATTGTTCACCATTATTTTCCACACTTTTTGTTTTTGGAGTAATCTCTAAAGAGGCTTTCGATTTTTGTTTTTCGTCCTAAGGAAAAAGATAAATTTAGTATCATAATGTTAAGGATTGTTAAGGATTGTTAGGCAGTGCGATTTAATAATTTGATTCACACAACATTAAAATATTAGAAGTAACCCAATTTTCTTCATTCAATAGAAAAATTTTTATATGATTTTATCGAAAAATTTACAAAATCTAGCCTGATTGTTATGAACCAGAATTATAATTTCACATGACTTTGTATACAACAAACCTTGCTTTTTTTAGTCCGAGATGTACTTTCTTGTGTCTGCTTGATTCGTCTTTCTTCAATTCTTCGTCTTACCCTTTCCTCTTCTCGCCTTCGAACCTCCTCAGGTGCAAGATAAACTGCGGTCTGTGGAAATTTCTCATCTTTTCCTAATGGTGTTGACAGATCTATATTTGACAAACCAGAAAAATCTACATCTAAAATACCAGTTTTGTTTGATATTGTGTTCCAAGGATTATTATAGCCAGTTTTCGTAGTATCCTTTTCTTCATCGGATATAGTAGCATTCTCTGGCATCTCACCAATGTCAGTATAAATAACCGGTGGAGCAGGTGGCGGTGAATGTCGGTCTTCTTTTTTCTTTGACGCTTTAGATTTTTTAGATTTTTTTTTATCGGCTGAAAAAGATTGAACTATTATTTTTTTGTTATCGACATTAAAAAGTAATGTGAATGAAACTATCGTAATAATTTACTTTTAAAGGTAAATTCATCCATCGTCAAACGAACTACTGGTATAGAATCCACATCAATTTCTTCCGTAATACGTTTTGATTGTCTGTCTGGTTTTGAATTTTTAACAAGATCTTTCCCTGTACTACTAATATAAAATGGATCATTCTTGATACGTTCATTACGTTCATTGCGGCGCTAAAGATATATGATATACCACAGATTAACATAATAAGAATTAATGAACAAAAAGAATAAATGGATTGTTACCTTTTCCTTAAGTTCCTCATCCTCTTCACTGTCATACTTTTTTTTACTTGATTTTCTACCGCGACGCCTTCCAATCGCTGTACCACTACCACTAGAAAATATCAAATCACCACTTCCACCAAACTTTTGAGTATATCCATACCCATAACTTTCTTCCTCTTCTTCACTCTCATTGTTTTCTGATTCAGGTAATGGTTCATTAATCCATGCATCTAAGTCTAATCCTTCGGGAACTGGCACCTTTTTTTGTGCTTTAGGAGCCACAGGATTAAGCTCATAATAAAAACAAAGCGGATAAAGCTCAGAGATGACATCAGGAGGTTTATTGGTTGAGGTATATATATCATTTTTAACATCAAACGAATTATCTGGTGTCATAGTCAAATGTTGATGGATTATTGAAAATATCTCTCGTGCATTGTACGCCTATTAAGATAATAAAATAAAAAAAGTAAACTATCGTTATAAACATTATACGTGCTTAAGCTTGCAATATTGTAAGTCATTACCCTTTCTTGAACTTCCAAATCGGTACTAGAGCAAAACATTGATATTTTATCTTTTATCATTTCTGTAAACCGCAATAATTCCTGTTTTGAATCCTCATCCCAATTATAAGTCAAATTATTTGCCCACTGTGCATATATTTTCAAAATACTTTGAATATAAACAGCTTGAACATTATACGGAAGCTTTGTAACGCCAGGCTGAACAAGAAATCCAATGGTATCAGTTGGTGTTTCCAGATAACTGAAAAGATTACAAGAATCAGATAAGCAACATTCGAATACCAATCAATTAAAATGAACATAAGAATATAACCTGCAATATTCCCCTGTTATCCAAGCAGCAGCATAAAGCACTTCAGAATTGGATTCTGAAAATTTAGAATTTTCCAAAAGACTAGAATCTGATAGCAATCTTTGCTGTATTATAATTAATAAGTAAGTCTTAGATTTTACAAAATTTCAAAAGAAAATTTTAATAGCATACCATTGCTTTTACACAATATTGCCGTACACTCTTGACACGAACACCAACATCCATTATTTGGGTTGTTAGTAAGTCACCAACATTAACACCAGCTACATGAGTAAGATCTACCAAAACTGCAATATACCATTCAAAATTTACAATATTACTATATGAATTCTGTGAACATATATATATAATCCGATTTATTATGTCTGCTCGATAAGCTGGTTCAAGCAATGTTGATGGGAGTAGATGATCTGATGATGCGTCATTATTATTATTTGATGGTAAAAGATGTGACATCAAGCGTTTAACGATGTCTGTAAGATTTTTTTTATTAACCTTTAAAATATAATATAAAACATTAATAATATAAAATATATAAGAATTCATTTTTATAAAGTATATAAAAATTAATTACCATGCCAACAACTAAGTCCAATGCACGTAAACGGATACTAATATCATGGTCATCAATACATTTTAGAATAATATCACGGTTTTCTGCTACTAATTTTGGATATGTTGGAAGAATTTTGGATAATGCCAAGAGTCCAACATATTTCACTAAATTAAAATTATAAAACTTGAATTAAAGATAATAGAGCTTGAGATATTTATAAGTGTCATTAAAATTAACAAGGATCATTAAATTAATAAGGATACAATTCTGGTCAGGATCTTCTAGGAATATCCTCAATTTGTTGACACACATTGCAGCCAAAGCATCAGAATTTCCACCTGACGTTAGCATATCGCCAATAATTACGGTATGTATACATTCATATAGTAATGACATAGCTGCAGTTGTTTGTATTTGTTGTGTAATTGGTGGTAAAAGTTTCTTGGCAAGGCGTGGCTCTAATGGTGTTAAAGCACCAAACTACAATAATATTTAAATCAAAATTAACCATATACACTAAAAAAATAAATCTTAAACTATCTACACAATACCAGTTTAATAATTTTTATAAGCATCCAATTATTGGAAGAAGTATTAAATAACTTAAACAATTGTGGTGCAAGAGACAAATAGTTTTTTGGATTTTTCCGTGCTAATTCACATACTACATTAACAACAGCGCATACGACCGCTATTAACGTGAAAGAAGGGTTAGAACAAGGCGAAAAAGCATATAATTGACAAAGGTCATAAATACAACTAACATGAATCAGGATCATCAATCCGTTCTTTTAAACGGGGAAAACTTAATCTCAAGGCTTCAGGAAATTTAAGAAAGAGTTTATAAAGAACAAGCACCACTTTTTTTCGCACATAAGGACGAGAATGACTAAGCATTGAAACAAGATCCTGACAAAGATCACGAGCAAGATCTGGTGTGACGATGTGAGAGAGTCCATTAAGAGCTATACCGACCTCAAGGTGATTTCCTGATGCGAGATCCTGTATAGGAAGTATTAGTCGAAACAACCATAATAAACAAAAGCACTGAAACTATTAACACACCACCTTTTTTAATAAATTAGTAGTTAACATTAACACATCTGTATCCTGCCGGAAGGATTGCGTGGCCGCCAAGTAACCCGAATGTTTCTGAAAAAATTTCGCCGATGACATAACTTCAACTACATGAAAAGATGCCCATGACATATCGTAGCCTAGCATTTGAAGCTACAAAAAGCAATATAATTGTCAGTGATTGTGAAAAACAAAACACACGAAACTTGAAAATTTTTTGAAATAACTGTCTATATAAAAAAGACTTTATTATTCAAAACATCTACAACTCACTGATAATTCCACGTACATAAGTCAGTTTTGATATTGCCTGTGCTTTTATATCGGGATCATTACTCTTTACTTCTTGATGGATCTCCTGTAAGCACGCAGCAATGTATTTTTGTTCATTTTTCTTGTTTGCGCGGATACCACGAATGAGATCTGTGAGCGACTTTTCAAACATTTTCTGGCTCAAAAAAAGCTCATTAAGCAAGAGTACATAAAAGAACGTCGTTAATTGAACAGGAGGAAAGTCTATGTTACACGACTGATCTTTCACCCGGTGTGCAACATATAAAAAAATTATTTTACAATACCGTTAGTACATGTTATGATTATAATAAAATGATAATCATAACATGTACTAGCGGTATTGTAAAATAATTTTTATTGATACGAAATTATTAGTGTTCTAACAAAAAAAAAAAACCAAAGTTTGATATATTTAATATTCTCGAATCTTCACTTTAAAACTTGCGAACCCCACGGAATTTAGAATTATTGTCTAGACCTAAAAGAGCCTTTCAAGAATTAATAAATTTTCGAAGCGTCCAGCCGAACATCCAGTTCAATTTTTGGATATGAAGAGTCTTAATCTAATTTTGCTATTAATCAAGTTATATGTAATACGTAGCCATTTTTCTTGATGTGTAGCGTCTAAATTAATATTAAGTTTGTTTATATTGAATGTTATATAGTAAGAATAAGCAATATCACAAAATAAACGTAAAAATAATTTTTCATATAGAAAGTTTATTTCTCTCAATACGAAAACACAAAATCACTTACGTATGAGAAATAATTATAAATTAGTTATAGAAAGATAAACCAGAAAAAGAACGACTTTAGGTTTTGTAATTCTCAAAACAAATAATTATACATTTCATTATTATACTACATAGAACCATATAGTGCTAATTCAGTCTATTAAATATCAAAATTTTATTTACAAACAATTTTGCTACAAGTTGTAATAAATTTTAACTTGCTAGATTTTGTTTTTTAAAAGTTATACAGTCCACCCTGTCATAACTGATCTGTTTTTGAGATCTTTGCTATGAAAATCACTCTTCGAATGTTCCGATAAGGCCAATTCGGACAAACTTAGACGAATATACCGGTTCTCACTTGAGGCAAATCGTAATATGCCTTTATTAATTTAATAGTTTATCCGATAAACTATTGAGGCAAAAGATGATTTACCGAAAGTAAGAACCGGTATGTTGGTCAAAAGTTTGTCCGATAGGAAAACGTCGAAGAGTGATTTTCGTAACAAATATCCCATATATTAATTTAACCTCCAAAACTCGATACCTTTTAAAAACTGATAGAAAATCTGTCTACCATGCATATCAGTTTTGACAGGGTAGACTGTATACGAGTTGCATTTAGGAAGGTCTAACTGTATTTAATAATTGCAAATTATTTGGTACAAAAAGATTGTTTAACTTTCCGAAATCTATTTTTCTGAAATACCATTTCACTGAAGTCGTAATACCGAAAATCCACTTACTAACAGGACGTCTGTGTCATTTCACCGAAAATCAATTAACCGATAAGTTTATTTCACTGTCAATTATTTCACTGATTCACTGACAGGTTTTTAAAAATTGCACTAACCTTAACTCTACAATGACCAGAAATACTTTGCCAATGATAAAATAAACTGTCAGTAAATGAACTTGTCAATTAATTGATATTCAGTGAAATGTATATCTCACGCGAAATACTGATGTCATAGTAAATTGTTATTTCAGATTTAATGTTAATTTTAAATTATTGCTGATCGTCGATTTATACGTACTACGTATACGATTTAAAAAAATAATTATTACTTTTTTAGCAAAAATACCTAACAAAGCGCATATAATTTTTTTTAACTTGAAGCTCTCAAATAGCTCTACATGTAATAGAACTACTTTTGAAAAAATTTATTCTGCTATTTGTCCGGAGCGTAGCGGAGGACTTAATTACTATGCAAAGTGATACAAAAGTTACGTTTTTGATGCCTTCAAAGTATCGTTCCTGATTCATCCATAATAAGAATATCAAACCCGAATCTTTGAATTTTTCGTATGTCCCCACTTGCATATTCAACAAATCTCATGTGATTTCGCTCCGGACTTATAACGGTTTTCCATTTTTCTAGTATATAAATCTTAAATACTAATTATTTAATTAATTTTTTTTAAAGGATAATTCTATTACCATGTAGAGCTAGTTGAGAGCTCAAGTTAAAAAATATTATACACACTTTTGTTAGGTACTTGTGCCAAAAAAATGCAAAATTAATTTATTATTTAAATATACGGCCTATAAAAAATCCGAAATCAGTGGTCTTGATGCTACCCTAACGCTAACGCCAATGTTTGATTTAATTAATTGAGGCGAAACCATAACGTTCCAGTGGGAATTGCTGGGGTTGAAGCATTATTGGACCTAATTGGATGGAATTGAAGGTATAATAGCTTCCAATGAAGACTTTTATCATCGGAATGGAAGTTCCAGTGATGTCTAGTGATTCCTAATTGGCCGCTCGCCTGGTGTAGTAGTTCGAATACCCGGTAACTTGTTTGTATTTATTTTGCAAAAGTAATCTGATCAAAATTGGGCCAATAACATAACTACCATATTGTCGCGAGATAATGGGTATTATTTAGAAAAATCGTATCCTATGAAAATAGCACAAATAACTCCCATGCACGTCCCGAAATAACGCGTACCCCGCATAAGGTGTCAACCCAGGTAGAAGCAAGCACATAATAATTTTGAAAAACCGGGTTCGGAAAATTACCTTTGTCTCAAAATAACGCCCATACGCGTACTCTAATAACGTGCATATATTTAAAATAACGTTCTAACTATAAATTATTTTGATCTCTTATTTGTATTTCTATTACTAATTAAAGTAATAAAGTTAAATATCTTATGTAAATAATGTGAACAAATGCATTTCGTTTTCGTTAATTTGCAAGCATAAATTCCACTTAATATCGTTCATGCTATCTAATTTAGTCATGTTTATGATCATTATAACCTATATAACCTGCAACTGGATATAATGAGCTGCAAAACTTTATATATTTTATATCGATATAAACAAAAGCTAATTTTGCGCATTAAATTTTTAGAAACATTTGTTTTTTATAGTATGTAATACTTAAGAATGTAATTTTAGTTCCAGTTTGTCCTTTATATTAGATTAGATAAAATTCAAAAAGGAGAAGAAAAAGTAAATTCTAAAATTCAAAGAGAATTCGAAAAAAGTGATTATTACGTTCTCAAGCATCTATCTCAATGGGCTCAAACAAAGAATCTGACTTGTCGGTTTGATCAGGCAGATTCTTTGTTGAGCTCATTGAGATAGATGCTTGAGAACGCACCATGGGATAGATCATACTATCACTTCCTCATCTGGTGGTAATGCTAGGACTTTAAAACAATCATTTTTAAATATCATCTGCAAATTAAAAATTAACAGGACATAAGTTACCAAATTGGTATTACCAAATTTAAAATCATTATGAATATCAAAATGGAATATCCAAGAACTTCCAGTCTACAATATTTAAGAATGTTCTTAATTCATATTTTAAGAATGTTTAATTTATAATATTCATGAAAACGGTTAATTCATAACGTATAATACTGGAGATACAATAATAGGCAATTCATATATTTTTTGAATTTTAATAAAGGCGACGATGCAAGTGACCAAACTAAAAATCTCGACATAAATGTGTTTTACGTATTTTGTATTTAGACATAAGTTTAATTGTAAAACAACATATATTGTTTTCTAATCTATGAATGACGCTTAACAAGTACACGTTTTAACAAAGATCAATCCTAACTTATAAGCGATTACTCTATGACTCAATCAATCCTAGCTTATCAGCGATTACTCTATGACTCAATGGTCGCGTGTGTTAATATGAACGTATAAAAATATGTTATTTAAATTAACGCGTCAACGATGCCTAGGATACACTAGCCTAAAATCAAAAAAAAAACTCATTCTATTTAATGGTAGGGGACACATAGATTATTTTTATATAGTTTTGTATGGTATATTAAAATTTTCATCTAAAATTGATATATGCTATTAATAAAACTTTTTTATTTTTTAATTAATAAAAAAATTTATAATATTATAAATAAAATTATTTATCTATTATAGTAAAATTTTGAACTATTGTATTATTTTAAAAAAATATACTTATATATATAATAAAGTTTACTTAGGTAAATTAAAATTTGCTAGATAGTACAAAAATGAAGAATTTGATTGGTTAATTTAAGTAAACCTATAAGTTAATTTTATTATATAATTATATATATATATATATATATATATATTGCTTTCACTAAGATCATGGTTATCAGCAGTTACTATCTTTATTGTATTTTAATTATGATTATATAATTTGTATAAGATGAGTATACAACTAGTCACACATACAATTTTTGGTTATCTAATTAAGTAGTTTGCCTGTATAGCAAGTTCTACATTAGTTGTTATACCTGCAACCTACTAGAAGATTATCTATTTAAATATTTTGATCTTTATACTTATACTAACAGATAGCATACAAGTTTTCATATACCTAAATGTTATCTAATCTAACCTTAACTTCTTTTCTGTACATTCATTAAGTTATTACATATTTCAAAATATGTTACCTGACTGTAAGGCTTCAGAAGACTCTTTTGCTAACTAACTACTCATTTTTAATTCTTATTAACAAAGTTCATCTTTGTAGAGTTCACCTAGATCTCAGTACTGATTTCATAACATATCTTTAGTACTTATAATATACCTTTGCTTTTAATTTTAGATTCTTAATTCAGATAGTCTAAAAAAACTATGATCTGTTTCTGGTATTCTAGAGTCTGTTCCTTAAAGTTCTTTTTCTTTAATTTGAAAATTTTAGTAATCTGATTGGTGGTACTCCTTATTCAAGGTTCTTGTCTGCCTGATTTCTTTTACATTGATATTCATTTTCTAGATTTAGTTTTTATAGTAGTACTGTCAAAGATCTATATTATTTTTTTATTCAGGTATTCTCAAATGGGTTCTGGCTTTTCAGTTTTACAGATTTACACAATCCTAAGGATTTATTTTGAGTTTGCATTATCTATTGCCAATTTGCATTCCTTTATATAACTTCAATATTATACAAA